AAGGTTTACGAATTATAGCTCGTAAGCTTTCGCTCTGCGTTACCGGAAATATTTTTTTAAAATATAATTTTGAAACCAGTTTTTAAAATGTTCTGCACTTATTTCTTCATGACAGTCCCTAATATTCTTCGCAGACACTATTCGCCATTATCCAGATGGTGAAAATCACTCTTTTTTTAATTTAATAAGTCTTAAAAATAACAATATCCTTTTTAGAAGATATTGGCTGGTGTTTTTTAAATGTTCCTGTAAAATTCATGCGCATTTTTTACAATTTGTTTTGCTTCTAATGACAAGTGATTTCGACGCGTAATCCTCCAAGGAATCGTCAAAAGGCATAACGATACACTTCGAAATACGCTGGACGTCGCCATTGTTATTGAACAAAAGTCGCCACCGAAAAGTGAGGCGCGACGCAGAATGTTAAGTCCTTTGTTTTGACATCGACCAAAAAAAAATCTCCCGTGCGGAACACTTTACCGCGAATCGAACCCGCTCTCGGCGAATGTTTGCCACATCTTTTCAACGCACTCGGTATTTTTAGTTTCCGGCGGGTTTAACGCGCGTAATCCGAAAACATAATCAAAACGTCGAAACATTCGAAACGTGCCATAATGAGTTTGGGCATCGCATTCCGCCTAACAAAGCGCTCTGTTTACGATCGACTTTTGTGGTTTGTTTAAGCCGGATTTGACCAGGAATTGTCTTACGCGCAGGGTGATTCGAAAAACACGCGCTCGACTGGAGATTTGCCGTTCAAAAAAAATTAGAAAAAATAGTTCATATAAAAGTACGATTTCGTTTAAATTTTTCAGCGATCATGGTAACACAGAGTCCCGTCCCTTCAGTTAGTATTGTCAAATATATGCGCCACTGATTTTTTTGCCATTTTCCTTATTTACTTTCTATTGAAAGTAAGGGACGGTGGGGCAAGGAGGCTCGCCTAAAAAATTAACCCATTTTTTTGAAAGTGTTATTTTTTGGATAATTCTATGGATTTAGCTTAATGAAAAATAGTTACTAATAAGTAAGGTTTTTTTTTTATTAAATACTTTTTACTAAATAATTATAATTATTATATATAAATATAAAGAGAGGAGAGTGGGGCACGACGGCAGAAGCTTCGCCAAAATTTAGGTAAATTAAGTTAAAGTTAGTTAAAAATAAATCGACTTGATGGTTAAAAACCACAAAAAATAATAAAAATATTAAATAACACTTCGAACACTGGGGTTTTCGGAGCGCGAGCATTGAAGATGCCAAGTGAGATTTTGGCGAAACGTCTGCAGGATTCCAGTCGGAGGCAGGATTTGCAGGATTCCAGTCGGAGTTCAACGAGCGAACGGATGATATCCCGGAATATAGTGTCATCACATTTTTCCATCCGTGAATCAATACGTGAGAATATATATACAGTGTGTCCAAGATAAGGATGCACAGCATGGGGATCTCGGAAACTATAAGAGATACAGTGTCGGTTAAATTAGACAAAAGTTGCGCATTTTGATACCGAACAAGATCCGGTTTTACAAATTTGAAAATTCCAAGCCGTTCCGGAAATATCCGAGAAAAACCGAAATATTGCGATTTCGTTTTTATTATTTTTTAAAGCTATTTGAAAAGATATGAAAAAACGGAAAACACTTTTCCATTGGCACTTTTTAATCTCTCCAAATTGACGTTAACAAATTTTCATTACAGCGTTTCGATTCCATGGAACCACCATCAACTTTGATTTTTCTTATGGGACGGAAAAAAAGTACACACAGTATTAGGTTGTGCTTTTCATTGCGAATTCAACGATGTACGATACAATATGGTTACTTATGTTTTTATCCAGAAAAATGGATTTTTAATACATTTCTAGTATTTTATTGTAGTAGGCCATGAGATCCGGACGATGAAAGGCAAAAGAAAATGGTTGACAAGTTCGAGTTAATGTGTTTATTTATTTACTAACTCTAACTGTTCATTTAACATAACAACTAAATCCAACAAGTTAATGAAAAACAAATTCTATAACAAATGTTCGAATAAATGACCTCCATTTTCTAGGCATAAGTATATATATATATATATATATATATATATATATATATATATATATATATATATATATATATATATGCTTTGTAATAATCACATAAAATCACACAAAAAAATAAAATTTGTTGTTACATTGCCAATCCTTGAAAACGTAGGCGAAGAAATAGGAAACAAAATATCGCGACTAGCTCCAAAAAAAAAACTATAAAATCTTTTCGAGAATGTCTGATCAAATTTTCCAGCGATAGCGGTCCACTCACTGAATTATTTATTGACCTTATGTCTAAAATCATTGCTGGGTCCTTGGAGGCAATTTCCCTGGAGAACCTCCGAATAGCTTTGATGCAAATTTTGGCGTCCTTGATCATTACGGTCTTTTTCAGCTGTTTTATTTACATTTTTTTTATTTTGTCTTTATACATTCCGGTTTCCATACCTCAGATCAACTCGAAGTATAAATGTGTTTCACTAATGAAGTTAATATACACAAAATTGCACAAAATATTAGTCATTTTGGTATTTATATAACCCTCGAAATTTTCAAGACAACAAATAGATGTTAAAACAAAACGTTATTGCAGAGTATTTTCATCGAATCTGCAGTTTTACGGTGTACCACTTATCACAGGACGCCCGGTATAGTGGGTCCCAACTAATTCATTCGGTATAAGTCACTAGTATTATCAAATTTTTTTCGTCGCTTCCAAATTTACGTTAAATTCGGAAATACAGGGTTGAAATTTACTGTTACTTTGGACATGCCTGATCAATTCAGTAGGGAGTAGAACAAAAACTTAAAATTTGAAAGTTCTAAGCAGGAAAAACTATCTTTATCCTTCTATTCGTTCGGCGATATACATTATAGGAAATACAACCTACGCGGCGTTGCCAAACTTAACGAAAAATCCCCCGAATTTCGGTTAATTTCTTTACGTCGGTTCAGCTAAAAAAAGCTTCGAGAACTTCGTTCCGATCTTTCTCGGAATAGAAAGATCAAAACACTCCCCAGCTCGGTGTTTATTTTCTCGGCGGATTGCCGTGTATATTTTCCCGTCTACTATACGACCCAGTTCTAAAGAGTCGATCTTCGATCGTTAAAAATTAAATAATGACGTAGTAATTAAAACGATGCGGCGCCTATCTGCCGGTGTTTGGAATATCTGTTCAGTTTTTTTCCGATCAATCGCGACGTTGTTGCCAGCGGGAACGAGGCTGCCTTATACAGGGCGTTCCGCCTGTAAAAAACGAGAGGTTCGCGGGCGTTCTACTTAGATCTGCTATGCGTCACTGTCCTCGGGGGTCGGGCGCTGCGTTCAGACCTTTCGATCGAGCCCTGGGTTCTCGAGGAAGTGTAAAAAAAACAAGAGTAAAAAAAAAGATAAAAAAAATAACAACGCACAGAAAGAAAATTACCAGCCAAAAAAAAAACGTTCTTCAGGGTTCCATCTTCAGCAGATGCTTGCTTTTATGTTTTCTAAAATATTTCGATGTTATTTCCGGAAACCGCCAGTAAAAAACAGAATGCGACAAGTTTGATAAAGGACATTTTAGTCACGCGTTTGATTTGGCAGAGCGGCGCGGGTGCTTTGTACAAGGGTAGGAAACCAAAATTAATTATAGTAAATAATTTGCCCGCATATCTACAATATACGGATTAATTTAAACGGCAACAAATGAAACGCTGATATAGTACGACCCTTTCTGTTGTTTGGATAGATTATAACGGGAAGAATACACCTAATTAAATTAAATTGTTAAGTATTTCAATTGTTGTCCGTCTAACGGTCGGGTTCCCAAGGTCTTTCCGGTCATCAACAACTATGTAATAAATCACGCAAACAGAATGATTTAGGCAGTAACGCTTCTTCTCGCATTCCGTCGCCAGTCGGAATGATCGTGTATATTTGTCCCAAAAACTTTTTAAAAATCTTTGAAATGGGAATTTTTATAGGAAAAACATTTTTATTAGGCAATACCTGAATGTAAAATTTCTAGGTGCATGTTGTGCCAAAAATGTACATTTTTTACAGACACGAAAAGATAGGTTAATATAATGAAATCATTAATAAATAAAACCCCTTTGTTTGACATGTTTAGTGTGTCGACCAATGACGATGTACGAAATTTATCTGAAATTTAGTGTAAAATGTAAGTAGTTGCCCATTATAAAATTGAAAAATGAAAATTTGTGAATATTATTTTTATTATTGTATATCACAGCTAAATGTCCTCCTGATGTTGATCAACACTTGGATGTGTTCCTCTAGGGGTGGGTGGGGCAAGGCCGCCCACTTAAGCTTTCTATTATTTTTTGTGGCTTTTAACCATCAAGTTGATTTATTTTTGGCGAAGCTTCTGGCCGTCGTGCCCTTATCAATAAGGTTATATATAATAATCATGATTATTTATTAAAAAGTATTTAATAAAAAAAACGTTACTGATTAGTAACTATTTTTCTATTGATTAAAAAATTTTCGAAAGCTCTGGCTTGAGGCTATATCCATAGAATTGTAAGAAAAGTAATTCTGGTGTAATAATATAGAATAGCTTTTTTAGAATTTTGAAGCAGTCGATTTTACCCCTGGTATTACGCAAAGGGCTGAAAATTCCCGAATAACCAGAATTTATAATTATAACGAAAAAAAAATTGGTTAAATGTTGGTGGGCCTCCCTGCCCCACCCTCCCCTATTCCTTTTAGCGTAGGTTGTTTCTGAGATAAATTTTATTTATTTTTAAAAAAGAAAACATATTAACATTGTAAATTTTAAGCAACGGAGATTGCCGCCTTTAAAAAGTAAACCGACGTCAATGCTTAATTGTTTAAAAAAAATTAATAAGTGTTATTGTATGTTCAACTGTGTCTATTTTCCATGAGTAAAGGTTTAATCGGGCCGAACTAAACTTTAAAAAAGATTGTTTTGCTTAAAATTGACGTGGCCCTTCTTGCTTCCAGAACCAGACGCATGCGCAGTCGGAGTGCAAGCCGAAGGCGTGTCTGCGTAACGCTGACAGCGAGAAGGCGGTCTGCGGCTCGGACGGTCTCAGCTACCCCAACAAGTGCCATTTGGAAAGGGCGAGGTGCCAAAACGGGAACGTCACCCTGGTGAAGAGGGGAGCGTGCAAAACGCATAAGTCTTGCGCGGAATGGCAGAAATCGGGTAACGCGCACGCCAGTAACGGATTCAGGCCGCAGTGTCGCAGGGACGGCTCGTACGAGCAGATCCAATGTCACTCGGAGACCGGGTACTGCTGGTGCGTCACGGTGGAGGGGGTGCCGATACCCAATACCGCGGTCAAAGTCGGAAGAAAAGTGAGGTATATTTTGAATATGTCGTCCTCAGATTTTGGAGCATTATATAATGCCAACAAGATGCTCACTCCATTTTCAAATAATGTTTGTTACGGGCAGTTTTCTTGTTGACATACTTCCACCAGTTTATCTAAATCGGGAATTTTCTCCAGTGCTCTGGTAATAATTTTTTTCCTTCTGTAAATAGCGCAGAAGTCGTGTCACAGCCACTAAATGCGTGTAAAAGTAAAATGTGTTTTTTAGTACGAGGATATTGGTCAAAACTTTTTGAAGAGTATATTTGTGTTTTGACATTGCCTTTGCCAACATTTTTAAAGAAAATTTCCCGATGATGTGACTGAGTACGTCCAATTAAAATAACGAGCAAATCAATATCTTCTCCTATGCTCTACACTCTTCGCGCTCTACCCCAAAAACGGTTGGTCGTATGAAAAAAAAGTTGAAACAAAAGTTGTAGAGAATTTTATTGCCTACAACTTTTAGAATGGGTGCAAATCTCATTTAAGCAATAGGAAGCCGGATATTCGCGAAAAAACGATTTTTGTGACCTTTGACCTTGAATAACTTAAAACGCGCACACGATAGCGTTTGTGACTTTTGAGACAACTTTTAGAATGACAAAACAATTTATAGCTTATTAATCTTTCATTCCGAGGTGAAACCCCTAATATGACCGGGCTATAGAGGTCGCTTTACAGGTGCGGTCGGCGCAACAAGAACCGTCGGCGCGCGCCCAGCAGGAAAAACAAACACAAGATCTGCAAGCGGAACGAGAAGGCCCTGCTGAACGCTAACCTGATCAACAGTTTCCATTCGGAGTTCTTCCGGGAGAACGGCAGAAACGAGTCGGACGCGTTGGTGGTCGCCTGGAAGTTCCGCTCTTTGGACACGGACGGCGATTTTTACCTCGACAAAACCGAATACAAAGATATACGCAGACTGGTAAAGAAGGTAATGAAGCCCAAGAAATGCGCGAAACTGTTTCCGAAATCGTGCGACGTCGACATAGACCACGCGATCAGTCTGCAAGAGTGGACCGACTGTTTGCCGAGGGACGGCATTGATGGTAAATATTTATTTGGGCGTTTTGGTTTTTTTCTTTCGGAAAAGGAGGCCAGACAAGTCATGCAACCAAAGCTTTTTCGGTGCAGCTCGTTGAAATGGCTACGTGCAGGTTTTTTTTTCGCTTCTTGAATCAAGATCTAGTGTGCTGTGGCCAGCGGTAAATCCGGCGTGTCCCTGTCATAGTAGGCCCGAGTGTGAAGTAACAACGTCACAGGAAAAGCTTTATCAATTCTCTAATGTTTATTTTGTAATGTTTTTCTTTGTTTTTTTTTTGGATTTTTTTTTAAGGCTCAGAGGATGGGGATGAAGGTTTATATGAATTTTTATTCTTAAATTTGACCCCTCGAGGGTTAACATCCTATTCTAAAACCATAATAACTATACCGATATAATAAATGGCAGGAACGTCGGCTTAGAAACAATAAAAATGATTTGTGTGTACTGTGGACCTCTTCTAACCAAACTTATCTATTGGGTTGTTCGGAAAGTCATTTCGTTTTTTTTTGGGGAACATGAAAGACAGTTTTCGTATAATGAATAAATATTTTATTAAATTATATATTGGCCATTCTGGTCCAACACCTTTTGCCATCTTTCTGGCAGTAACGTAATTCCCCTCTCATAAAAGTTTTGGTCCTCGCTGGCAAAAAACTGGTTCAGGTGGTTTTTGACATCTTCATTTGAGGTAAAGGTTTTGCCATCCAAAAAATTTTGCAGGGACCGGAACAAATAGTAGCCGGAAGGCGCCAGATCTGGAGAATATGGTGGATGTTGCAGTACGTCCCATTCAAGCTGTAAAAGTTTTTGGCGAGTGACCAAACTTGTGTGAGGTCTCGCATTATCCTGGTGGAACACAACACCCTTCCTGTTGATTAATTCGGGCCTCTTCTCTTTAAGTGAATCATTCAATTTGTCCAGTTGATGACAATAGACTTCTGAATTAATCGTTGTATTGTCCGGCAAAAGCTCCAAAAAAACGATTCCTTTGACATCCCACCAAACTGAGAGCATCACCTTTTTTTGGTGAATGTTGGCTTTTGACACGCTTTGAGCCGGTTCATCTTTTCTTCTCTGACCTCTTGCGTTTAACATTGTTGTATACAACCCATTTTTCATCCCCAGTAATAATCCGCTTCAAAAATGGATCATTTTTTTGACGTTTGAGGAGCGAATCACACACGTCAACGCGACGACACAAATTTCGCTCCGTAAGGACATGGGTCACCCACACATCGAGCTTCGAGGTTAAGCCCATGCCTTTCAAATGGCCATAAACAGTCGAATTCGACAAATTTTATCTCTCACCGATCTCTCGTGTGGTTATTCGCCGATTTGCATCAACTAATGCCTTTATCGCATCTTTGTCAGCTTCGACCGGCCTTCCAGACCGTGGCGCATCTTCGACATCAAAATTGCCGGATCGAAATTTTGAAAACCAGTTCTGGCACTGGCGTACTGTTAACACATCCGTCAATTTTTTTCTCGCTTGGACAGCATTTTTACCTTTTCTGAAGTAAAAAAGTAAAATATGACGAAAATGCTGCTTATTGCTCTCCATATTTAAAAGGGCACCAACCAAAAACTACTGCGTAGAATTAATAGAACTTTTTCACACACAAGCCTTGCAATATCAGCTCTCAAGACATATAATGGTAATGCGGCTTAAGTGTGAAGTTGTTTTCGAAAAAACGTAATTAAGTCCACTGACGGGAAAAAACGAAATGACTTTCCGAACAACCTTATATAATAAATTTGGGAAAGATACCTAAAAATCTGTCGGTTAAAGGGGTTTTCAATGTTGAAGGGATAAAAGTGGTTCCTACCAATGAAACTGAATGAAACTGAAACTCGCAAATATATGTCAAAATGTATATGTTGACATCGTAATTGTATAAAATTTCTACTAGAAAAAAAAATCTGCACATTTCTTAATTTATAATTAAATATTTCTCTTAAAAATACATCCGTTCTTCAAATGGTACTTTTTTATGGTAGTTTGATTTTTATTTTCGAATGTTCGTTTTCAACTTTTGTAAAAATGTATTTACTACATATCATAAATCGGGCCTCATAAGTAGAATGCATAACCAAACAAATTGTTCATTGGCATTTTTTACGATAATTTATTGATTAATAGATGAGCGTTATCTCTGGAAGGAGGATACGATGGGCTTAGCGCTGTGGTTTCCTTCACCAACAGAAGAGTAATATTTATCTATCTGTTATGGAATAATTAGAAGTTTCTTTACGAGTTTGTAGATCTACTCTACGAATAAGTCAAAAATTTTCTTATCGCAAATTGGTTTTTCTTTATTAGTATTTATTTTTTATATATTTTTTTTTATTCCATTGATTTTCATTGAGGTTAATGTCCCGCACAAGTTCCAAATTATTTTGTACGTGAAAATGGCCGTTGAATTCGGCGGTAAACACGTTGCAATATTTTTGCGAAATAATAAATATAGAAATACATGTAGAAATTGCGTGTGCCAGGTTTTAACAATAAAAATTTTCATGTTGCCTATATATCAACTTGTCGGGTCTCCTTTGGGTATGAAATTATATCGGTTTTGGGCCTGCGGTTTTGCATGGAGGGCGGTGTCTTTGAAAACTCGATACCACCTCGGTGAGCAGGGGGGGGTATTTTTGAACGATATGAATGAAGAAAAACTGCTTTTCATACTGTGTAGTCTACGTTCGCCAAAATCCTAAACTGCTACATGTTTGGAATAGATAAATGGATTTTCGAAAATATTTCCGTGATCCGCAGCAACATAATTAAGCTCTACGGAGCCTTTGCCATTTTATCGAGGATAGAATGAAGGGGCATTTAGTCCTTAATTTACTTATTTATTTACTTATTTGATCTATTACAATTCTTTATTTTAATGATTACCTCGGGTGCGAAGTTCCAAAGACACGCCCCTAAATCTTTTGCTGTAGCTAGCTCTGCTTGTTGTGGCATGTAGTCGGTATTGATGCGTTGATATTATTTTTTGTCCCACGTTTTCATACGCTGCAAGAAATTCCTTCAAAATGTCGGCCTAAAATCTCTTTAAAGCTACAACTCGATTTTTCAAACGAAAATTCTTTTTATTGAAATTTTTTCTGAAAGCAAATAGAAATCCTGTTTTTGTAAGTGAAGTAAGTAATCTTTTTAGTATTAAAAATGTCGTAAAGAAACTATTTTTTTTAGTAAAAAAAAAAGCGTTTCGTTCCATTTTAATCGGCTGAAATGCATGAGTTAAGGCCGTTAAACTGCAACGGAAGATCCCTTGACAAACGATCGAAAACGATTTGAAAAAAAAACTAGTTTTTGCGAATTTTGTATGAGACGATAAAATCTTGATTTCATAAACACCCTCTACGTTCCAGGGCTCCAATACCAGAACAATGGGCAAATTGTAGCTAAAATGTCAACTTTATAGATGTTTAATTAACCTAGCAATAAACAAATTAGGTCTGTTTTAGGCCCAAAATGTGGAAAATAAATAAAGCATCAGAAAGTGATGCCGATGAGAAAAATTGATCAATATACAGGTTGTCCTATTTAAAAATTTAAAAAATCAATGTTGTTGGTACTTTCCGATACAAGCGGCAACATTGCGACACCGAAAAACCACAAAAACTTATGCCATCCAACACCCAACACCACTGTATACATATACAACACCCTGTATATTTATGCAGCGTCGGCAGTTTTTAAGAATTTAAAATTACCAGTCGCCCGCTTTTTAAGTGTTTAAAAGGCAGGGGACAATTTTCTGGGACTTATTTATTGCCGTGCGTGTCTATACAGATCTTCCGGCTTCCGCGTAGGTGTTAAACGGAGCCCGCTTAATGAAATAAATTTTTCCGGTCCATTGTCCCGCGTGAACCCACGTCTCCCAATTTGCCGTAAATTAATGGAAACTCTCCATTTAATGTCAAAATAACAAACAGGTCTTATTAGAGGACCGAGAAGACGAGCCATCACGCGCACCCTTTTCCGATATTTTAAGGATTAATGCATTACTCTCTCTGCAACTCCTTCGAAAAGATCGTACGATAATAAGCCAATTTTTTACTTTTTTGAGCTCAAAAAAATACATAATTCATTTTCCTAATTAAATAATAAAATGTAGAATTCTAGCTGAAAATAACCCAAATCTCTTGAATAAAATGTGACCTCGTACTGATTAAACACTTTTAATATTTTTGCTCAGGATTCTACAGTTAAAATATAATAATAAATTCCATAACATGAAAGATAAAGCTTCCACGTCTTATCGCCAGACAGTTTTATTAAAACGAAATCTATTTTCTGAGTTTTACCAAAAAATTTTGTCGACTATGTCGATTTTTCTATTTTGTAATCGAAAAATCCAATAAAAACGTGCACATTTGTCGTCCGTGTTTGTGTATAGGCTTTTGTTTCTAGTTTCGTTATTAAAAAGTTGTTGTCGTACTGGTCTAAACACCACAATTAAATTCACGCACGTTGCGGGAAGCACTGACGTCATCCGGTGACGTCAAAGCAGGCTATGCTTCGGTCAAACGTCACTCCTCGATTAAAATTATATATCAGTGTTTCCAACCATACGTAACCTAACCTAGAATTTCTATTGATGAAATCAGGATTATCCATAAAAAAATGTGAAATCAAAAGAAAACTTAACATAAAAATAGAGAAGCACTGACAATCATCACGGTTAAATCGGATATCAAAAAGCATGTGATTAGATCGAATGGTCATTGGTAATTGTCCGCGTATTGGCTGTTATGTTGTGTATTTTTGACCGCTCTGTTTCTACGATCTCTCAAACGCATTTAGTTTTTTCAGTAGTGTGTAGTGCGTAGTAATCAACCACGTACCCTATACAGCCCGCGTACTTTGTTTTGAACTTAAATAGTTTCTTTGCGTGTGTTTTTGTCACTGAACCCAGATGGCAGGATAGACGCGGCGTTGGATGGGGGGGAGGACGAAGAGGAGGACTACGTCGATTCCTATAGCTCGAATTTGGGGCCACCTCACAGTGAGTATTGAAGGCAGGATGGTTTTAAACTTTATCTTACTCTCCGAGCGGGCATTATTATAATACCTACAAAACCTGTCATTAAAACATGTATTTGTTATGTTTAAACGTTTGTTGTTCTAAATGTAGGTTCTCATAGCATAGAATATTGAACAGATGAAGGAGAGATTAAGGAGAAAAACAGAAGATCAATTTTTGTTCTTTAGCATAACATATTTATGTACCTTTTGACAGAAGAAGCAATTTTGTGCATTGAAAAAGTTGTGTTTGCATTTAAGTTAAGACTTTATCTGTTTACTTTTTTTATACGCAAAATAAAACGTGTCAACGTAGCTTAAGTGACGTCCGACGTGACAGATGTACAGAACGGGCGTTTAGTGAAGCTAAATTCTTTATTTTTTTAATAATTTAAACTTTCGTGTGGTCCTTGTTTAAAGCGTCATTATTTTCGAACCAATTCATAAAGTTCGCGATTGATTGTAAAAAACCCGTTTTAGCATTCAACGGCGTGACGTCTATGGACGACAGTCAGAGCTATCCGGATAGTGACTCGTTCGTGGTAGAGGACGATCCGTCCAACTGCCACACGGACAAAAAGGCCGCGCTGGCAGAGGGCGATAGCTCGAACTATATTCCGGAGTGTACGGCCGACGGCAGATACCAAAAGGTGAGCTTCGGTCATGGAATAAGCAAGATGCGTTTCAAAAATCGTCGGTGGGCGGGGCAAGTTCGTAGAGCGTCACGCGAAGCAGCTTTTTATACCCCCCCCCCCCCATAAATCCTGTATAAACCATCTTTTACGTCCCGCCGAACTTCAAAGTCATGGCAAACTTTGATAAATGTTGTAAGCCATAAATACAAAAGTTGTTACTCTTGATGCGGCCTATTGACCATATTTTTTATTTTGATTTTGATTTGAGGTTAATAATTTATTCCCAAAAAGTACAGCTTTCGCGGCCTTTTAGATTTTGGTCCATAATTGAAAAACCCTGTGTATAATCGAAAAAATCATGTTTAGATGCGCGTACGGACTTTTACTTCCTTGCCAAATTTGAAGTCGATGACTACATATTTGAGACATCTATGATGTTTTAGAATATAGCACAGAATATTCCGAACACCCTGTACAATATGTGAAAACCTTAAATATAAAAGTTTTAGCTGTCCAAGAAATTGACAACAGAATCGCAGCCTTCTAGTTATTAAGGGCGCTCAATTTTCGGTTTTTTGTAAATTACCGACGTACCCTGTACATTTTTAAAAAATCATTAAGAATTAAAGAATTTTTTCGATATCATATACCGTCTTGAAGAAGTGATTTTTTTCTCGATACCTTACAAGTGCAGTTTTTAAATTTTTAAAAATACTTCCCGACCCCCCAGGCCCCCCAGTTTCAATAGGCTTCGTTACGGAGCTAAGCTCTATACATCTGTCAAATTTTAAGTGGATGGCTTCAATTCTCGGACATTTATCGTGTTTCATAGCAATGTCCAAAAAACAGTCGAAAATGTAAAAAAAAGATGGGTTGATCAGAGTCATCTTTTACTGGAAACTGTTTTTCAAAAAATAGAAAATATTTTTTTTACATAAGTTCCGGTCCGTGTGTAGCCATTGCGTTGATACCAATAACGGATAATCACAAAAAGGCTATTTCATCAAAATTTGAATAAAGCAACTTGGGGATTGGGGGTTGAAATAAGAAAAAAACGGATTTTGAGGAAACGAATTCATTTTTTTAGGTATGTCCCGGTCTATGTACAGCGATTATGTCGATACCACTAACGTATAATCACATAAGGGATTTTTCGTCAAAATTTAAATAAAGCAACTTGGGGATTAGGGGTTGAAATAAGCAAAAAACGGTTTTTGACGAAACAGAAATTATTTTTTTTACATACGTTCCGGTCTATGTGCAGTGATTATGTTGATACCACTAACGTATGATCATAAAAGGGATATTTCATCAAAATTTGAATGAAGCAACTTGGGGATTGGGGGTTGAAATAAGCAAAACACGGATTTTGACGAAATAGAAATTATTTTTTTACATATGTTCCGATCTATGTGCAGTGATTATGTTGATACCACTAACGTATAATCACAAAGGGGATATTTCATCAAAATTTGAATAAAGCAACTTGGGGATTAGGGGTTGAAATAAGCAAAAAACGGATTTTGACGAAACAGAAATTATTTTTTTTACATATGTTCCGGTCTATGTGCAGTGATTATGTTGATACCACTAACGTATAATCACAAAGGGGATATTTCATCAAAATTTGAATAAAGCAACTTGGGGATTAGGGGTTGAAATAAGCAAAAAACGGATTTTGACGAAACAGAAATTATTTTTTTTACATATGTTCCGGTCTATGTGCAGTGATTATGTTGATACCACTAACGTATAATCACAAAGGGGATATTTCATCAAAATTTGAATAAAGCAACTTGGGGATTAGGGGTTGAAATAAGCAAAAAACGGATTTTGACGAAACAGAAATTATTTTTTTTACATATGTTCCGGTCTATGTGCAGTGATTATGTTGATACCACTGACGTATAATCACAAAGGGGATATTTCATCAAAATTTGAATAAAGCAACTTGGGGATTAGGGGTTGAAATAAGCAAAAAACGGATGTTGACGAAACAAAAATTATTTTTTTTACATATGTTCCGGTTTATGTGCAGTGATTATGTTGATACCACTAACGTATAATCACAAAGGGGATATTTCGTCAAAATTTGAATAAAGCAACTTGGGGATTAGGGGTTGAAATAAGCAAAAAACGGATGTTGACGAAACAGAAATTATTTTTTTTACATATGTTCCGGTTTATGTGCAGTGATTATGTTGATACCACTAACGTATAATCACAAAGGGGATATTTCGTCAAAATTTGAATAAAGCAACTTGGGGATTAGGGGTTGAAATAAGCAAAAAACGGATTTTGACGAAACAGAAATAATTTTTTTTACATATGTTCCGGTTTATGTGCAGTGATTATGTTGATACCACTAACGTATAATCACAAAGGGGATATTTCGTCAAAATTTGAATAAAGCAACTTGGGGATTAGGGGTTGAAATAAGCAAAAAACGGATGTTGACGAAACAGAAATTATTTTTTTTACATATGTTCCGGTTTATGTGCAGTGATTATGTTGATACCACTAACGTATAATCACAAAGGGGATATTTCGTCAAAATTTGAATAAAGCAACTTGGGGATTAGGAGTTTAAATAAGCAAAAAACGGATTTTGACGAAACAGAAATTATTTTTTTAACATATGTTCCGGTCTATGTGCAGTGATTATGTTGATATCGTTCTTAGCACACTGACCTTAGCAATTTTTGTTTTTTTAAGTTTCCAGAACTGTTCGTTTCGAAAATACTGTATCCTGTTGCCGGTTGGATAGATTACTGTTGAATTTAATTTTAATGGGCTGCATATTTCGTACCCCGATCAAAACCGACTTAGTCGCACAATAATATCCACAATCTTAGCAAAAATTAGACAGGGAATAATTTGCCTTGGTCAGGATTACTTACTAACAGCTATCTTAATATACTAAATTTAAATGAATTTAGAAAATTTTATGCGATCTGAGCATATTTTGGCAACAAAACGAACGAAAAATTAACATACCTTCTTAACATGCTGTCAAAAGTGAGCATATTGGTATATGTTTTCAGGTGCAGTGCTACAAGTCTGCCGGGTACTGTTGGTGCGTCGACGAAGACACCGGCAAAAACATACCGGGCACTTCGGTAAAAAATGGCACCCCCAACTGCGACCTGCACAAGGTGACCAATAGGGCGATGAAGGGGTGTCCCGATGAGAAAAAGTTAGTGTTCCTGCGCGAACTCATCCACTTCCTGCATACGAAAATGTCTGAGATGGTGAGCGCGAACAGCACCTTCACGTCGTTGGGTAAGGGGCGTGGTTACGTTCGCGATCCTCTGTTCACTAAGAGTGTCTTGCCGTTGCAGCTTGGATCCAGACCAAGGAGGAGCAGGCGGCCACGTGGAGTTTCGTCGTGTTCGACAAAAACAAGAACAAGATGCTCGAGAAGAGCGAGTGGAAGGCGTTCAAGGACATGGTCGGGGGAGTGAAGGGTCTGAAAAAGTGCGGCAAGAAGCTGCCGCGGTACTGTGATAGCAACAAAGATAGGCTGATTAGTATGACCGAGTGGTTGGACTGTCTTAATATTCAGCAAGGTCAGTTTCGTGTAATTAAAGAGATCAAAGCCTCACATTAGTGAGGTGGTTAGCGACAATATACATACAGTGTGTTGCAAAAATAACTTTTCATTTGGAAAATTGAACCGAGGTGGCTTTCATTGATGAAAATCCATTTATCAAAATAAATAAGAACTAAAAGTTCAAATTTTCACGAAATTGTCATGTCAAAATATATAATTTCGTGAAAATCTGAACTTTTCATTTGGACGCTTAGTTTTCAATTGCTGCATGTCACACACTTATCGAAACATATTTTTTGTGTGATGTTTAATAAAAAGTTCAAAGTTGCTTGTTTGTCTCTTTTTTTGTTTGAAGTTTCTTTAATGAGATACGTTCACTGATGCGAGTGTGTGTTAACTCGAATTTATATCTTTGCAACCTTCGGTTGGTTGCGTTACAGGATAATGAAACAATGCTTGAAAAATCTTAAGTTTTAGGAATACATAAATTATTAACCCAATTTAACTTTGAAACATATTGAAAGCAAAACGTTCAAATGCGAAATGGCGTAAGGAAAGTCTCATTATTTTAGCCAAAAGAATTGATCTACATTTTTGTAACACCTTGCATTCCGTTAAATATATAATGAAAGGTTGCTTTTCTGAAGTAAAAAAAATGTTATTTTTCGAACTAGTATAATACCTATAGTTTTGATTAGTTTTAAGAGATTTAACACACAAAAAAGTAGTTGGGAGTTCGAAGCATGAACGTTTATTAATTTTTTTAAGCAGCCATTTTAGGATTGTGGAACATTCCACTACGACAAAATAAAAGGAAAAATGGTGACTATCATATTCACAGGAAAGCTCCTAATAGTGCTTGAGTTATAATTTTCAACTCGGAAAAGTCGTAAATAATTTTCGGGTCTGTTGCCTTTTAAACGAGAGGGAAATAATTATCTAAATTCAGCAGAAATCGCTGCGCCACTGAAACAGTCTTACAAACTGTGTAAACTTGAGTGATTGTGTGCCATCTAGCGGCGACTTCGTTATAACTTCAAATTTTTAGGAGCTATAGGAGGATGCCGGTAGAGCACCCTGTATGTTAAGGATGCAGTGTAGCGTCTGATACCTTTTAAGCACCGTTATTTGTTCCAATAGGAATAGAATGAGGAAAAAGACTTCTTTTTTGAAGCTTTATGCTGCGTTTATTGTTTATTTTACTGGATTTATATTAAACAATAAATAATAATGGTTGATGATTAAACATTTCTGAATGATGAAACAGTTTTGACAATTGGATGTTTTTTAACATCATTTGATTCTAGCTGCTTACGTGAATTGTTGTAGCTCCTTTCAAGTTATGCTCGAATTTATTACAGTACAAATAAACGTACAAATAACATACAAGTAAACGGTCGAAGTATGGGCTCTCAAATCTGTTGACCTATATTAAAATTTTTTATAGTCTGTTGTGTTTTGACACGACATTCGATTCGTGATGTTATGTTTTAGGTTATGTACAGCGCCATCTCAAATTCGCTTATCCTCTATATGTAGAAACACTTTTCTGACTTTAGTGTTATTGGATTACTTCATTATTGTTGTTCATTATTCATTATCGTCGTTGAGGCTTCAACGTTTGCTCTTGTTCCAGGTGCAGCGTCGGGATCTAGCTCGGCCAATATGTCCGTCAGGACGGGCAAAAAGAATCCGCTGAGTATGTTAAAGGACGATTAGGCTAGCCGCTTTTTTTTTTTTTTGAGGATACGGCTAAAGAAAAAACGACGGGCGGGCCTGGCGGGGGGGAAATACGAGGTGGTGCGCTTTTGTCGCGGATAGTATGTGATTGTAGGTTAAGGTATTCGTTTTCGCCCGTCGCCGCGCACGCTAAAGAGTTTATTTATTTGTGTTCGCCTCAAGGGTAGGCCCGCGCGCCCTTCTTGTCTGTGCCATACTTTATATACGCGATGGTGCCCCCGCAACGGCAGCGATCATTTTGTTTTTCAAAGCGTTGAAATCGTGAGCCGAGTTCGCGCATACTCCCATTTTTTGTACATTTCGTGTATTATAAACGTAATTCTTAGCTTGAATCAGTGTAAAATTTTAATATAAACAGTATGGAAACATTTGTTTTTATTTTATCCGGGCCTTCTGTGATTTCAACAAAAAATAGTTTTTATTTGCTATGCATCTACATGGTTCAGTCAAAAATGGAGGAAAGTCCCCACAGATTAACAGCATGGTCCAAGTTTGAGTACCAGAGAGCCGCTGTTAAAGAGAGGAGGGGGAAAATGCATAGCTCTTCTTTTAGCTGCGCCCTTTAGTGGATTACCTAACCTAATTTATTTTTTCCTTGTTAGTCATTCGCCTTGGGTGATGCCTTTATCCATAAATAAGAGTATAGCCTTAAACCAAATCTTTACAACACTGGGGAATATAGGAGGGAATGATTTCCAGAATAAAATGGCGAATGCGAAACAACAAAATACAAGGCTTTTCCGGCAGTTTAACATTGAGCTATTAAAAGTTCACTTAGAAACTTTGGGAGAAAATCCAATCTAAGGGATAATAATAATGGAAATAAGCACGAATTGATACAGGTTACCTATCTTAAAACAAGCATTTGTTTCTGTCTTTGATTGTGATCTTTATCTGAAAAATAATCTTCGAAACAGAAAAATTTTAAAACCAATTCTGTTATTATTCTAGTGATAATTTTGAATTTTGGTTACTCGCAAATTAGATCAAAGGAACTTACTTTATCTGATATTCTATCTTGACCACATAAAGGCCTCGTGGAAATAAATAAGGCTGTTATATAGTACCTCCATTTGTTGTGTTATCGTACAATTTGGACTATAATTAAGGGTGCGGCCTTTACGTAGACCACGTGTAAGGTATATTCAATTTCGTCTCGTGAGTAAGGGGTAGGGGTAGGTTGCATTTACTTTATCGGGAAATTATAAATAATAGAAAATAGAAAGACACAAAACTCTTGAATCAATCCAAGACAAATTGCTTCAATTAGAAAATACAACCCCATAAGTGCTGTAGCAAACATATTTTTAATTTAATCCTTTCGTAATGCAGCAGCGTGTCTTACAATACAGAGTGTGATTTTTTTTTGTCAATACCACCCACTCCTACCTAAAATAATATTAATCCAAAGGCAGCGTTCTGGGTCGAAACTTCATAAAGGGAGTACGGATCTATAAGTTTTAACCCGTTGCAAGAGTCGTATTTTTCCGTATGCACATCTAAAGTTAAAATGCACTTCGCACCATTTTCCTTTTAAGCGATTACCACGCACTTAACATCTGAAACCTGACGAATTCACCAAATGTCAGCGGTCATGTTGTTTGTGGAACGCCGCACACTGTAACCAGATACAAAAACTTTGGCAATATATAAAAAAATATTCCTTGCACAGATTGATTGTAAATGAGCCTTTTATGTTTAACGTAGTGAGAATTCGGTATTAATTCTCGAAAACTCAAAATGGGGAAACCAATATGGCCGTCCTTCAAAAATAACTACACACAAATTCTATTCTCTGGGTGACATCGCACGAGACAGGTCGATCCTTGTCCGCTGCCTACAGTATCCGGGTTTTTCGACGTTTAAAATCTGTTTTCGCATAAATTGTTGCGTGTCGGATCTCCGTGAACAGTTCGCGTCATTTTGATGATATAAATGTAGGGCGGTTTCGTGGTTTTTCAGTTAAAAACAATTTTTGTCGCCGAGGGTCAGTAAATGGGTTGGTCCGTGACGAACGCGAATCGTTAACCTTTGTACGAATAAGTTAACTAACCTGAAGGATGCTTTTTAGGAAGGCGCCCATTAGGAATTTTGAATTATCTTTACCAATATTTGTAAGCTGGCCAAATGGCCCAAGTCGCATGGCCAACTAAATCAGTGAAGAAAATACTTAACATTTGCAAATATTATTTGCTAAAAAAATTAGACGAGTCATTGTAACAATTGTAAAACAACGAACAAATATCGATTTTAGAACATGTTATCAACTTTTTAGGAATTATTTCTCAATGTTTTTTTTTGTCAAATTTCTGAAATCGATACTGACGAGCCCACACTTTGGTCCGACGCAGATCGCACTATCACAAATAGTGCAGTACAGACACAGAGGCACCATATAACATCCTTGGCTGCGAGACGATGTCGAACGTAATTAGAATTCGACCAGATATTTTAACAACCCGCAAGGCGTTAAGTGCGACAGAAGTTCATTAGCTGTATGATGCGGACAAACCTCCTCCGAATCAGGAAAAAAATAAAGTCCAGATTTTGATGTTTTTTATTGTATTGAATGATCCTAACCTATACGATGTTACGAACAGATGCTACTTACAAAGATATTAACTTCCTAGATAGTAGATTCTAATTTTATTTATACATATATATTTCAATTAACCTACATGTCAAGTACATCGTCGCCGGGAGGGGGCATTCACAACGCCCCCCGCTCGAAACGCACGGGGGTGTGCGGACCGCGAGAACCAAACATGGCCGTTGCGGCTCGTCCCGCGTATCGTGATCGCAAAAAAAAAAAAAAAACGTATTTCTATTTTCTTTACATTGCACTTATGGAAAAATCGAAGGGAAAAACTTAAAATTAACCGTTTAAAACCTAGGCAGTCGTTTATTTAGCGATGGTTTCCTAAATTCTACGTCCCCCCCTCCCCGCCTCCCGAATTGTAATATGGCACGGTAGTATTTTTATGTTCGTTTTTTTCCCGCCCCGGGGCGGATTGAGAAAACACTCGGAAACGATCCGCCCCCGCCCCGCGACCGCCCCGGCGCACAATATTGCACAAAAATGAAACCCTCTGGGCAAGCGACTCTCCGATTTTTTTCGTAGATACACCGGGGGGGCGTCCGGTGGGGGGCCACGAACGCGTAAATGCAGTAATCCTGAGGAAGGACGCTAAACCAAAACGTTCATAGTATATAAAATATCACATCATTCTTTTTTTTTTTTACAGTAAACGAAATAAAACTGAAAACGCCTGAAAAAATGTAAAAAAACTCGCGAGGGAGAACGACCGGAAAGAAACAAACGTAATTTAAAACGAAAGGTATAACGCGAACGTTCGCACATAGATATAAAAAAAAGTTAACAAATAAAATTTCCAAAAAGTCAAACACTACGCCTCACGAAAAACCATAATATTATCATATTATGTATATAACATTTGTCTATGTACAATGTAATTACAGGTTTGTGTAACAATTTAAGACTAATCAATGAGAAAAGTATTCGGGTTTTAGTCAAAGGGGTCGTTTTCTCTCTTAGTCGTGCTATACGGAGAAACCAAATTGTCACGTAGGTACAAAATGTGAATAACGTAAACTCTGGTGGCACAAGGAACATTAATTCTTCCAAATTAATAGCAAAAAACGGACCGACGCGAATGATGTCGCGAGCACGGGTCCGTGGCAACATTTTTGCATTTAAAAATCAGAAATTTATTTTGGAAAATGCCTCGCATTTTCGAAAATACGTTTTCCGCGTTGTTCGCAGATTACGTTGATTTTACAAGGTAATTAACGTAACCTGGGAAAATTTGTTTGAAAAAAAAATAGCTGCTCAAAATATGCAAAAACAAATTTTTTACAGCTTTTAGAAAAGTAAAAAAAGTACGTAGTTCAAAAAATCGTTTCGATTATTTCCAATCATAAATAGTTTTGATAAAAAAAGAGGTGGTAAGAGTAAAATAAAACTAAAATATTAACGACAAGAATTTGAAATGCTTAGAAACAATAGTTCCAAATATTCAAATTTTGATTTCAAATTTGTTTTATAATACTACCTTCACATTAAAAAAAAAATATTTTTGTTATACGTAAAAACTGCTTCAAGTTGAAGTTTTAAACACGTTTAAAACTCAACGAACTAAGCACATTTTTCAAGCAACACAGAAATATGGCTTTTTTTAAAAGAATATGATGGAAAATCGAAAAACCAAAATGGGGCACAAAATGGCTACATATTAAAAAGATGTTTTTCAATCGAAATCAAATTTCGTATTATTTTCCATTATTTGAAAAAGTTTTTTTGAATTCCTAGTCCCCTTAAAAGAACGAACCTCCAAGTCATTTGATATTACTTTCTTTTGAACTATGCTTTTGATATTACCTTAACTGACCATATTTTCTATGACACCAACTAAGCATTATTTGAAAAATCTCTTGGTTTTTTGAATCCCTGGACTCTATAAAAGAACAAACTTCCTACATTTCATTTTATTTTCCCTGGAACTTTTACAACAGGAACTTTACTTTCGATAATACTTCAAAAGACCATAATTCTTTTAAAAACTGAATAACCGTTATTTCAAAAAGTTTCCTAGTCCCTATAAAAGGACAACTTTCCAAGACTATATTACTTTGTCTCGATCTTTAAACACATGACTTCCAATATTATTTTAACTGACTACATTTTTTATGAAGCCAAATAAGTATTATTTGAAAAAGCTCTTACATTTTGAAACTCCTGGTCCCGTTAAAAGATCAAACTTGCAAGATACTATACCGTGGTTAGTCTTACGGTGTCTACGAAATATTAACATAAAAAAAAAAGGATCTTGACTCTATGCACAACGTGACGGAAATGGAAAATGTTACCACGGACTACCGAGCTGTTTTGAGGTTGTATTATTATTTTTTCCGAGAAAACGAGTTCATCCTGCAAATAACCACTTAATTAAATTAATTAACAATGCGATTAACGATTCAATCGATTAATTAATAATTTTTGTACAACACAGTTCTCGTTTCCCGGCCGCGCGACCACATTCGCGCCGCCCTTGAACGTATACTCTAAAAAATATATAAAATAGGGTATTTACTATGTATATATATATATAATATATATATATATAGATATATATAAATCGTATATATAGAGGTGATTTTGGCAAATGACATTTATGTTACGCAGTAGTAAAAAAAAAACAAAACAAAAGACGAACTCTCGGCGCCCTCTCGCGGCGGCGGCGGCGGTCACTACGCGCAAACGTATCGACGATGATCACAGGTGGCTTGCGCGCCCGTCCTACGCTACGTAACACTGATGATGGACCGCGTCGACGTTTCTTTGCCGTTCGTATCCGCGGGATCGTTCCTCACCACGCACTGTCCGGTCAATTGGTTCACGCTCAACGGATTGTTTATGTCGTGGGGGTTGGTCCCGACTGGATTGCGGGGCGGCGGCGGCGGCGGCGGAGGCGGCGGAGGTGGCGGCTGCTGATGATGGTGCGGCGTCAGTTTCGCCGCCGCGTCATAACCGTCGTGGTGATGGTGGTGGTGGGGAGTGAGCGGGCTCTGGAGCATGTACGGACTGGCGACGCTCACCGACGGACTGGCGACGCTCGTCGACGGACTGGGCAGTACCATGCCGCCGGGACTCGTCAGGCTGCTGAACGCCGATAAGCCGCCGGGACTCGACATCGACTGGTTAAGACTCTCGGCGTCGTCGTCGGGAGGCGTGTGAGCGTCCCCCATGCTCCCGCAACTTCCTAGATTGTCGTCCGACTGGTTACCGTCGTTGCTCTCGCCCGACTCCATGTATCGTATGCATTTCTTTTTGCGTCTGTAACATATACGGATGCGTCGCGTGAAAAAACTGCGCCTCCACTGACCGGGGTAGTCGTAGGGCGCGGCGGTGGGGGCGTGGCTCGCCGCTGATCGGGCCGGGAGCGCGGTTCCCGTCCCGGTAACCGGTTAAAAGTCTATCTATCCCCCGACCCTCAATCGTTTTATCGAGGTCTGACTCAAAGACATTTTTTTAAAACTAAAAAGACCGGGAAAACCTTTAAACAATATGGAATGGGTCAAGTATCATATTATACCCGGTTAGTCTTGAATTTTATCGTTCCAGCTCTGACAGTTTCGCAGATAGTTAAACATTCAGGTACTTTTTACTAACCCTGAAATTAAAACTTAGCGTACTATACATTGTTTAAAATATATATACTACGCAAAAATACTATATTTTCATTCGTTTTATTCTCATTTCTGAATGCTTCTATAAAATCTGAACTGTGCTAGGCTTGTTAGTTGCCTGGCGCAGGGCAGCATGCCAGTTTCAGGTCATTGCTTTTTAGCCCTCTATTCCTGTCACATGTGATTAATTAAACCTAAAACGTCGAGATGAAAGATACAGGGCAAAATTACAATTAATAAAAAAAAATATAAACACATATTTGTTTCTGGTCTACTGTTATTTTCACCTAACTCTTAAAATACTACAGTTCAGCTGACGAAAGTTGTCACATTGCACAAGTTGGAGGTTGGAGTGTTTACTGTGAAAACATTGTCAACGAACACTCGACGTTTGGTTACTTTTCCTAGAAAATATATAGTTACAATACGCTATATCATAGAAACACAAGAACAAGGTCTTATAACCATATTAATTGCTTATTTTCCAAATCGTATTAGTTGGTATGAGTTCTATTTGGTAGATACGAAACAGATATGTACTAACAAAAATAGGTCAATAGAGATCATTATTTATTTTACACAGTATATATGCATTAATATACAACAATACTTATTTGATTTTAAATTATTTTCTTAATATTGTCTTCTTAAATATCAATGAACTGCAACTGTGATATACACGTTTCCGCTCTGCGCGTTTTACTATTTAATATCATTATTTTATCAATAGTATCAAAATAAGTATATAATAATATCAAATATAACAATGCGTTAAGAATGTGTACTGATACATGTTTCCGTCGATTACGATATCGTCAAAGATCATATTTGGAACAAACACTCCACTATGCACCCTCAAATAATTGGTTCAGAAAATTATTTCGATGAAATTTATTGTGTGTATTAATATTTGTAGGTTAAATTTTAATTTTTACTAAAGCACCCTTAACTCATTGTGTCATTTGCAATTTAAATATTAATTGAATTGAAAGAATTCCAAATATCCAAAATACCATTCCAGATCTTGAAAGAGTACTTTTCCCACACATATTACTTGAAGAAAACCTTATTTCCACAAAGAGATTTTCCGGAAGAACCCTTATTTCTAAAACATTTTTGTTCGTTTTGTTGCTCACGTGGTGAGATGCATCACGAGCTAATATTGCCAATGCTTAACGCTCCCACATCCACTAGACAGAAACACCTAGCTACCGGTTGAGAAAAATCCCCGCCCCGCGCCGTTGGCGACGAGCCCCCCCCCCCCTCCTGCCGCGACAATCACATGCGCACAAGTCATGCATCGGTTAGAGGGCGCTGCGGAAACAAAACCAGAAGAACCTATCGGTGGAGGTGGTGAGTGGTGTCTTGTCTGTGTGTTTCCATGCTGTGGTCGTAAAATTATAAAGAAAACGTCGGCGGCCGAATGAAACGGAATAAAACGAAAAAAAAAAAAACAACAACAACAAATCAATCTAAAAAACACTGAAACACCAACACTGCTGTTGACTAACCGACGTTTTGCTATAGATTCACGTAAGTCGGCTCCTGAGACGGCTGGGTGGTGGTCGTGCCGACTCCCCCAGTGGCGTGCAACAGGCTTCCGTGTATAGACGACGTCCCGCTTCCGTGCGAGCTGTTCTCCGGACTAAACAATCGTTAAATGTACAAGAGGGCACCGTGTTCATATAAATATATTAAAACATACACACCCAAGAAAAAAAAATGCAAGGATATATAATAATCAACATCCATATCAATAATAATAATAATATAATGGAAAAATTGGAAGCAACACTAAGATAAAATATGGAAATAAACGATAAATATAACGGCAAACAGTAACATATAGATATATAATATAGACGAAGTGCAGAGAGTTATATCAGAAAATGTGTCTGGATCGTTTTTTTGGAAATGTTTTCGGGCCCGCTTGCACTTAACAATTGTTCGACTCTAACAGCAGTGTTTGTGTAATGACAGTGCACGATATCTAAATTTTCGTTTGGCTCTAGTTTCTCTGTGTGGGAAGACACATTTTCTGATCCTGGCGCAGTGGCGCGGCAACTTGGCTGTTCTTTGCTTACCCACTCCACGGTGTCTCCCGCGGCGCGCGCTCCCAGTTAAATTTATATTATAAACCCCCACCCCGGCCCGGGTCTTTCCACATAGATAAAAAAAACCAATTTTGACATCGGCGATCGTATCGGTGCAGAGCATAGTAGAAAAAAAAACGCCCGATATTTCCGAATCGAAAAAATATACCAACTACAATGTGAGATTCGATTTTGCGATTGCGATGCTATGCGATTTAGACTACGAGTGTCGCTTTAGTGAAATATAAGTAAAATATAATACACTGGCATATAGGTGGCGTAAATAACGTATATCCTTAACGTACGACCCAACGCGTATGACGTTATATATACGTTACATGCGGGGAGTTGGTTATAATAATCGTGACTGATCAGTCACATTTTCTGGAAATGCAGCATCTCACGAAGCGGACAAGCTCAGAAAAATTGGCGCAAATGAAGTGAATAAAGCCAGTTCTACCTAGTTTTCTATTTCTATAAGTTGACACCGACGAACAAAATTTAAGTGAAAAATTATTATTGTTTTGTACTCATCAAATTATATATTATAAGTATGATGTGAATAGATTATTTTTTTCTGTTGTTACTTGGGCTAGTTGTGAAACGCCGCTATTAAGAAACGTGTTGCCTTGTCTTGAACATAATAATTCCAGTCTTTTTGGGTATGTTTTGCCCTTGTTTTAGTGTATTTAAAGCTTAAATTTATTTAAAATTTGGTTTTTTAGATGATCAGTTTATCAGATTAGTTGCAATGCTGCTATGCATGGTTGGCTATGGACGGAGGGTAAAGTCTGTTCATAGATATAAGAAAGTGATTAATTGATACGAACTAAGGAAAGACCCGGACAAGCCGTATGAATGAAATATGGCCGAATAGGTCCGTATTTTGCTTACCCTTTTCTGGGGTATCGTAAGCGTCGAACCAGGTATCATCCAAGTAAATAATCCTAATTTTTTCTAGATATTCCAATCGTCATTTCCGAATTCTAAAATATTCCATTAAAACTTGCCTTTTGTCAATTTTTTTAAATCTAAAACCCATGTGTTGAATACATTTCCATAAGGTAGTTCTGCCACATTTAACACCGCTTTCATTTTTTTCAAGCCTAATAATTAAGATATCTAATGTAGGCACGCTTTGTTCATCGTATAACTGATAAATTTTACGCCGTATTATATCTTGATCACTTTTATCACGAGAAAATGTCAGCTTCTTTTTTTCCTAGCTGAAATGGGATTATTAACAATTTTCCATACAGTTGGTGTTGAAATTTTCGTCAATGTGGCCGTTTCTTCTAAAGATGCTTGCTTGGTGACACCACGTCCAATGAGAGTGAAATAAACATTGTTTATAAATTCCTTAGTCTCAATAGAATAGTGTTTTCTACATTTGGGCGGGAGCATCTCCTGAGATCCACACGAAATAAGAATGATTACTAATAAACTTAAACTAAGTAGGATACCAAACCAAAGAATATTAAATACAGGTAGGTATAAAATTTAAATTCCGAAACTTTAGGTAATAAATCTTGTTGCATTGTATGTTAATGACCACCCTTGAATAATCAAATTCAAAAGCAATTGATCACTTTCTTATATCTATGAACAGACGATACCTGATTTGAAATTTGGCTTTTCACGAACGAAGTGCTCTATTTACTGATATTTATGTCGGGAACGCCTTGTCTGATACATCTTTAGAAGTCTGTGTGTCCTTCGCTATAGGACGTAGCAACAGATACCAGTTACAGACATCTCGGGTATTAACAATTCGCATAGCCGCGTATCCGCCGAATCAAACGACAAAAGAAAAAAAAACAATGCGCCGTGCAAACAACACATAAACTGCTTTAAAACGGTAAACGACACAACGAACACAGGCAACCGAGCTGAGGTGAAAAACTAAAAAAAAATCGATACCAACCTGCAAGGTTTGCACCACTGACTCTGCTGGTCCAACCCGTACCTGGCCCGGCACTTCTTCATACTGTTACCTAAACCGAGAACAAAAAAGATCACGATCAGTACAATCGGCGCGTCTATTACGCGTCACCTCCCCACCCCATCATGCAAAACGAAACGACTCCCAACGAACGCTACCCAAAACGCTACTGTAACAGGAGGGAACGTCGACGGGGTTGGGGAACGAAAGGAGAGGGGGAAAAAATCTAGATCTAATCTAATAAGTAGAGGAGGAAGGAACCATGCTGGTGTGTGAATGATGGTGACGGTAATGGTGGCGGTGGTGGAGTACGGCAGACGATCGTTCTGCGTAGCCATTACTATTCAAACGCGAACGGTAAACGAGAATCCATAACGGTTGGTATGAATTGTCGCGTTCCTACCGGGAGTTTCGGACATCATGCAGAGCTTTCCGACAAACGTGCATACGAATAAGTCTGCGAGATACGTTTCGGCAGAATAGGTCCAGGCCGGCCAACCGTTTACCCCCAAACATGCAATATATAATGTATATAGAGAGAGAGCGATAATAAACGGCTCGCTAGTAACTACCTCGCGGCCCGAATTAAGAGCCTCGGTACACACACACACACACATGCGCGCGCCTACGCGTCGAACTTAAAGCTTCGCCGTTTGGTAGATAGGCAACCCAACTTGCACGACTCTTACACCTGTAATGCTAGCGTTTGCCAATTTTAGTTACGTAACAAACGACGTTTGCAGTGGAAATCGCTAATATATTTGAACATTTATTATACAAAATTGTAATAATAATTACTACGTAGATATTAATCACATTAACATCGACTTTCTCAGGTTTGTATAACAACTGCCAATTTATAAGAAATATTTATTTTAGATTTCACTTACCGCACATTAAAATACAGAAAAAAAAGTAATTTACTTCCTGGCATTATAAACGAGAAGTCGTTTTAATAACCTAAGTTTAAATATAAAAATAAACTTCATTTTAAAAAAAAATTGAATATCAATTTGTTTTTTTTTTCTCTTCACTTCTCGTATTTGTTCATTATTGTTGGTCAATAAAATATAACGTTATAATTATTTACGATATTTAAAGACTACGAGACAACGTGGAATTATGGAAAAAATCTGGGAAACCGAACGCATGCACTTTACCGCAACTTGGAATGCAAGAAATTTCTATAGTTTAATTGAAATTACGGTACGCTGGTGTGTATATACAACAAGCCGTATTCGCGTGTGACGTCGGTTGCATACAGTACGCAAAGGACGAAGCTTTGAACTTGACGCATGAGCGAGCGCGCTTGGGTGTGTGTGTGTACCCACAGACTAGTAACGTCGGGGACGCGCAACCGGTAGCGAATTACGAGCGCAGTTTTTTTTTATATACGGGCTACCTCCGTCTGCGGGGTCTTGTTTGCGTTTCCTCTTCTTGCCGCGGGTGGCGTTGGCGCGCGACGACCAATCCGGATAGAGTTGCATGTGCAGTTGCCTCTCGCGGCGTGCCAACTCATAGTATTTGGCCTGCTCCTCGCGGCCCAACGCGTGCCACTAAACAGAACACAGTCAAGCAATTATCTCACACCGGAGGCGGCGGCGGCGGCGGCGGCGGCGACGGGCACCAAGAAGCCGCGCTCGCGAGACGGTATCCGGCAAACAACGCCACCATGTGCGCAGTAGTGTAGTGTCGGTGGTATACCTCGCGACCCATTCTGCTATAGCCAGGCAAAGTATGCACGTCGGTCAGTCAGCGTTTTTTCGGGTTAGAGAGATAGAGAGAGGGTGAGTCTCGAGTTGTGCGCTCCGTTGTTAGTCCCCGTTTTCGAGATGGGAGGGGTGGCGTGCGCGTCGAAACCCGACCGTGACGCGCGTGTGGTGGGTGCTTCGACGCGCACGCGCCGCGCGCCAATCGAACACAAGTACCTCCCGATTCGATCGGTGTTCGCTCTTTCTTTCGCTTCTTCTTCTTGGTGCCGTAGCCGTAATTGTCCCGTGCGCTCCAGCCCGGGTACAGCTGCATGTGCAGTTGGCGCTCGAGCCTCGCCTTCTCGTAATACTTGGCTTGTTCCTCGCGGCTCAGCGAGTGCCACTGTGCAACCACACGGTTTAGCTTGGTTCGCATACGTGACAGAGAGGCGCGCAAACGACTGAGAGCCTACCGGTGTTGCCAGGTCTACCGTTTTGGATCACAAACAGTAAACCGAATGTATCAATAGCAACCGGTGCTTGTCCAGAACTGTTATGATCACAGGAAGGAAGTGTACCTTGTTTCATAGATTGCGCAAAAATCATTCAATCGCGCACAACACCACAAATCAATAGGACTAGGCGATACTTGGAAAGCCTATATTGGAACCAATTTCAACTTGCATTTGGAACAAATTCTCCAAGAGGCTTTGAATGAAGTAAAAATAGGAGTCAAAGTTAATGGTCGAGTATTTTTAATTTTAACGTCAAATTTTTGTTTCTTACAATTTTCTAGTGAAAGGTTAATTTGTTCTCAAAGAGTATATGTTCTGTTTTTCATGCATTGCATTGTGGCAATTTGTACAATTTGAAAGGCAACGAGGCCGTTTTAAACTTCCTCTGAAGTGAAATTTAACACGTAGACCGGTAAAGAAAAGTATATGGTTCTTCGAAACCCAGTGCACACCCCAGCAATCTCTATAAACCTAAATACGTATTTTGCATTCAAAAAATTGGACACGGAAAGAGCGATACCGGCGGAGGGAAGCAGACATCGAACAGTGAATAGGAGGGCTACACGATATGCAGTCTTTAATACACACCAGAAGAGAACGAAAATGGTAAGTTTTGGATGTGAAAAATATTTCGAAATGCGTTCCAACTTCCTGCATCTATATCTTCGCACAATGCGTCGTTACCAAGACACTCAAATTAATTTTTATTAAGCAATAACCGCCAACCATAATGCACAGCAATATCCGAACCACAGACTAAAGGCAATTGCAGTTAACCTTTTTAAAAGAGGATAACTACAGAAAAACAAGGGCAGTCTTCGTCTCCAAAAGATAGTTCCAATACCGTTGGAGGGAGAGAAAGAAGACAATGCAGACAAATCAAATAGCTCAAAAAAAAATTGAATAGAAGGATACAAATCGCATTGTGGTCACCTCCTGGGTGCGGCGCAGTTTTTAAACAGATAAATGCCTAAAATTAGGGAAAATTACATTGCTGTTTACCGGACACTCCGGGTACGTTGCAAATTCCGTGTAGTGAGGCTCTGCGGAGTCTCGGAAACGGATTTTATGACACAAATATTACAAAACAGGATGTTTTGGAACACACCAGATTCTGGACTTATACGAAATGCAAATTTCAGTAGCACAAAACTGTTAAGCAAGCAGGTCCAGAATATTCACAAGTTAGTTTTTAATTCTTGACCTTTGGCAACACTGGACGGCACTCAGACTCGAAATGCCTTTGTATCAGTCGAAATCGTCGCGCGCGCAATATCGAACGATTTTTTTTTCAATCAAATTGGGGATGATTCTCCGCCCCGCCTTTTATACGCTTAAAACTATAACTTGCTCGACAGACAATCGCAGAGGCGTTACTTAATGGATGCATAAGAGTTACCTCTATTGTAACAAACGTTTTTAACATTTTTTTAAAGGTTTCTTCTTCTCCGCGTAATTCTAAATTGAAACGAATGCTAACGGTACTAAACTTTCGACAACGGGAATGATGGGCTTTTAAAAGCTCGAAACGTTAACTATATTTTTGTGAATGACGCCTCTTCAACACGATAACGTATCCGATAGAAAGGTATAATGTTAATCGGGTCTTAAATGAGCGATAACCAAATACACTTATGCATCAATCAAATTACGCAAAACCCCAAACCAGGTTCTAGATGCAACAATCGCTCATCTCATTCGCACATCACTAAAATACGATCTTTATTATGTAAGCCTCACCCGTCGTCCTAGTATTTGGTTGATGGCGGCGCTCTCCTTGAGCGTGCACTCGGCCACCACCTTAGCGCGCATCTCCTTCATGTACAGCATGAAGGCGTTGAGGGGTTTCTTAATGTGGGGCTTCTTTTTTTCGTTATCCTGATTGTTCTTGTCAATGTTGTTCTTGTGATCCGATTGGGACCTGCGACAAAACGGTTCGTTGCCTATCAACGGTACATTTCGACGAAGGAGAAGAGAGAGAGAGAGAGAGAGAGAATCGAAAGACGTTCGGCCGCGTGGGACGCGGCAACCAGACATACACCGAAATTTTTTCGCATATTTAAAATACCATACCCGTGCGGGCTACGACGGCCATCTTATTCACGAAGATCGAGCGTTGCAAATACAAACGCCGTTTATGCCCATAATATGGATATTATTTTATTATTATACGCTGGATGGTAAAAAAAATTGGATAGCCCCGGTTCGCTGATATTGCATTTACTTTGGAAAAATCTATTTGGGATTTTGGTTGTTGAACTCCAGGTTTGTCTACAGCACATACGACACCTGCTAAAAGTTTTATTTTAATATAAGGGTTTCTGTATCGCCTATATTTAAAATTTTCCTATTCGTTTGAAGAACGTCTGGAATTGATGGAGTATGTTTTACTACTTCTAATGTATATTAAAACAAGGACTGACTTCTAAGAATGGCTGGCTAGTCAGAGGCTTACCCCCGTTCCCCGTTTTTCTCCTTCTTGTCGCCGTCCATCTCATTCTTGATGAGCGCGTCGAACCCGCTAGGGAACTTGTAAGTTACGTAGGGTTTCTGCTCGAGCAAATTATTCAAAATCTTATTGGAACCGCCGCCGGGGGCGGTTTTTTCGAGCGCCCCGCCGCCGCCGAAACCAAAGTACGGACTCGGACGACCCAAGATCGAGTTCACGTACCACGTGGTTAACAATTTCCTATCCAAGTCGTTCATCAACGAATACCCTTCCGGATTCGGATACTCGCCGAACGAATTGTACGTATTCTTCGTGTAAGTGGTGGTCCGGGTATCGTCACCTTTCGCCAGATAACTCCTCAGTTGTTCGCTCGGGCTCGTCTTCGTCGTCAAATCGAGACCGAGATCGCGATTTTCGCGCTTCTTGAGCGACAAATCCTGCGGCGAATCGCACGGGCGTTTCACGGAAGCGTCGTCACCGTCCTCTTTGAGATTACGCGAAAACGGAGCGACGATGGCGATCGGCATTTTCTTGATCGTCAAGTTGAGAGGTTCCTCGTCCATCGTCGAAACCGAATCGCCCGCGCAAATCAACAAGTTTTTATGGGCACCGGAAAATCGATACGAATGGCCGTGCGTGTGTTACGACGATGTGCTTTATATCCGGACGGCACTAAAACCACGTGGACCGTGTGCCGAGAGTCGACGATAATGAGACGCGCGGCTTTTTCTCGTAGCGGCGAATAATTTTATCACACGTCCGCGAAACGTCACGTTTTAATTATCGTCCGAGGGTGGGTGGTAGTGGCGCGAGAGACGCGAGGATTTAATAACCTACCAGACGGAACGCGGAATGATGAAATTGCTTCCAATAAGGACAGTTCCGATAGTGGTTTGTTACTAGTTAGATAGAGAGGGCGAAATGCCCCGGCTGTTTGTTATGTCGCTATTTGACGGATTGATTCTGCGATTTACCGCACGCTAACCCCGTCGACGGTACAGCTCGGGCCTGACGGGATTGCAACAAGTTAACTTCCCGGTTTTGTGTCGACGCGTTCGTAGCAACGACGCGTTAATAAGATACGTGCCCGTTAAATATCCTATTAATAGTTTCATTGCAGCAACGGAGCGGCAGCTAAACGCCAAAGGAAGGTGGGACGAATTTTACTGCCGGAATAGAAATCGACATTACGTGATCCGCGTAGAAACGTGAACCAATAAAAACCGAGTGTCAATATGTAATAAAAAATGTAATTTAGTATTTTGTACAATTTAAATTTGATTCATTTGTTTTCTTTGCGCATCCCCGACGATTCCTAGTTTTCCACAACTCTAACGGCAAAAATGTGAAGCGAGGAGGACTAAGTTTAAATATGAAATGAAAAAAAAAAAAGTTTAGTTTTAAACATAATTATTACATGTTAGAAATAAGCATCCTTGGTAATTACGAGTTATCCATATCTCTAATGACTATGATAGCCACATTCTTTCGAGATATATTTTTTTATTAGTGGTAAAAACGTTCTCTTAGTCAGTTTTACTTCATTTAAAAGTGGCTTGCTTTTTATACATTTTTTTGACACGCCAGTTCAGAGAAACGTATAAACTAAATTAACGCCTAAGACTAACATTCTAAATAAATATTAATCACTCTTACTCTTTAAGTAGCTCACAGAAACATCGTAGCAATGTCCTATGTCATAATAAAGTTCCGATATCAATTATATACCAATAAATTGAAAAATTCCAAATACTGCGACGGGAAAATCGTAAATGAGGGTGTAAATGTTTATTGGCGATGGCCGTGTTGCTGCAGAAACCTAAATAAATTGCGGGTTTATAAGGTGACCTGCATAGAAATGTTTCGTAACTGAGCGCAAAGGGCATCGAAATAATGACTTGCCTTCATAATAAGTAGTTGTGGAATTGAGTAGATACGAGGAGAAATTAAATTTACCCAAGTTTGCTCGAAGAAAAATACAGCTGTAACAGGTTTTTCAAAAACCGGGGAAATGTGTTTTCACACAACTGATAGGGCTATGACGGTCATACCGTTTCATGAAAGAACAGAAAATAACGATATTAGTTAAAATGACGAAAAATACGGGAGACAATCTTTATTCATATTTCATTTAAACAATTCAAATCAATATATACAAAACTGAGAGGCAAGTCGTTTAACCTACCTTACTTTAAGAACTAAATCAGCTTTTGCACGGAGGTTCACAATTTAAATTTAAGATTTAAAGGCCTGCTCACCCCTCCGCGTCGCACCTCTGGAATTTTTGAAGGATCTTTAAATATGACATGGCTAAAATATATAATGCACTGCATCAGTCTCTTAAATTGCTAAACAATACCTTTTCCACGCACTTGCGTGAAGTATTATTATCCTTAAATATTTAAGTAATGTCCACTGCACACTATTTCCAAAGTGTAAGTCCCTCTATTTGCACAGATCGCGTTAGGTATTTATTTATTTTTTTATGTGTATTTTTCCTGCCTAGCGCTGCTACCTTCTTCTTAGGATAGGTTTAAAAACGAAGGCACAAAATATCTTATTTTGTTCATGAGAACCGAGTCCTTTTCATTGTATATCAATACGTGAATAAAATAATAATTATTATTATTAAATAATTAAGAAGTACTGATTTTCTATAGCATTGTAAATAGTAACCAACTTAAATTTGTTAACGATTATATATATCTTCCCCCTAATCGTATAACAAAAGAGAAATAGAAGACATTAAAATAAAAAAAACATGTTAAACGAAGCGAACAAAACAAATAGCGATAAACCCCACAATTCGCCAGGTTACGACGCTCATTTTGTCGCAACCAATAACTGGCGATTTCCAAAAACGCGTTAATTAATTCCGTATAAAGGTCGAATAAAAGACCGACGTAATTTATTCGCCCTCGGGGCAAACATTGCGGGGCCGCGGGGGGAGGACTCTTCTTTTCGTTTCCACTCGAAATTAAAGAAGCGTTTCGGTCCAAGAGAGCCAACCGAGTCTCTCCTCCGATTTAGAATTCAATCAAAAATGCATGTCATTACGGACGAACCGGCCGTCCCTTATCAAAGAGAATTATTGATTAAGGGCGCCGGCGGAGGGATATTTCCGTCCGCATTTTCGACGGAGCCCTCGGGTAGACAATAGTCGAAAAGCGAGCAGAGGTGGGGGGCAGCGATCTGTTCTAACTTGACACCCTTACGTGCAGATGGGGCAACGCGTCGCGTATACGCTTATTATTATCATTATTGGCGATCATTTTAATTCGTTTCGCTGGCTTATTCCTGGAGAACGCGACCCTATACGCCTCAGTGTCTAATATTTTTTAAACTCAATTGGTGACAAAATGGTAAACAACAATAAAGCAAAGAAAGTCAATGTACAAGAACAGAATATTAAACTGTTGTTCTTGCTGCCTGCGAAGCCATTTAAATTATTTGCCAGACTTTGCATTCATTGACTGCCCAGTACGACTGATCTAACTATACACTATGTGGTTAGTAAGAGCGTTTATTTTTAGAAGTCACACATTCTTGAATTGTGGTATTTTGTTGATAATATGGAAAGTGTGGGTTACGGGAGGGCTGTGATCGTTTCTTCATTGTATTAGGATTATTTGGGTAACCCTACTCTGGATTCTCTTCAGGACAAACCAAAATATCCTTGGCATCAACTTCTTTTTGATTAATATTCTCCGTTGTCCCACTCATTTAGGGGTAGTTTATAGGTAATGCCTAATTCGAAGGAGTGGGATTCAAAAGTAGTTAAACTGATTTGGCAAACGTGAACTTTTAAGTTGAATAATACATAGATATACTTCACAATTTTATTAAATGAAAAGTCAGCACCACTCTCACCCTGTGTGGTATGATATTTGGCAGAAGAATTTATTCACAGTGCATTAGTATAAAGTAATGTTGTAAACATAAATTTTCAAAATTTTCTACGATTTTTAATCATTTTGTCTATAAGAGTGTTTGATATCTTACTTGCAACTGTTTTTCTTACTTGTCCTGTCCCGGTTCCAAAATAGAGAAACGGATAAACAAATAAAAACGACGCTTATTTTAACTCGGTCGATCAACATTAGAAAATATTTGCGTTTTTTCAAAATTATTCAATTAATGATTATGGAGCCTGAATACCACATTTCAAATTAATTACTTAATCTTGGGCGAATACTGGGTGCCTCAAAAAATGTTCCGCCAATTTCTACGGTAAATAAAATATTAAAAAATGCCTTTGGCTTGATTAACAAACATGCGTCTTGCAGGAAATAAATACGACTATGAAAAAAGATATAAATACTTTTGATTGAGTCATAAAAGTAACAGATAAGGGGGCACTTATTTGCCACCCTTTTTTTAACTTACCTTAACTTAAACGTTTTTTTTTTTTGTTACCGACAAGTCAACATTGATTTGAAAGCGATTTTATATATGGAGTACATATTTCAGTGCCGTTTCCCTATCGTCTCCTCACCCCCGCGGATAGCCGAATCCGACATTTTTCTGGCCCAACGACTCGGGGGGCGGCGGCGGCGGTAAAGGGAACCGAGAGAGGTTCCCCATTAATTGCCACGTCGCGGTGTAATCCTGCAAGCCGCTCCGTCGGTCCCGATGGGGGCGGTCATGCGGGGAATGAGATCCAAGATTGGTTATCGACATTGCGGCCATTGGCCACCCCGTTGCCCCGGCAACCGCATCCCGAGTATCTGAAGGGTTAGGCCGCTGCCCCGTAGATACACTTTTTTCCTTTTTTTGTTTGGTTTTCATTCCGGTCTCGTATTTGTTTAAGCGCAGTAATCGGTCGCTGCCGCCGCCGCCGCCGCCCACGCGCGAGTCGGGGGAGGAGGGGCGATGAAAAACGTAATGGTCCGGTCGTCTTGTTTTTCGGGGAAACTGTTTGACGGCATCAATTACAATAACAGTTACGGAATGGCAAAACATCTTTATCTAGTTCATTACCGGATATACTATAAATTGACACAGGAATTTTGTTCGTCAGTTTTGGAATAGTTATCTCAAAATTGAATTCGATACCGTGCAGGATGTTTAAAAAGTCCTTCCAATATTCTTGACAAAAAATGTGCGCTACTCACTTTTTAACGCAAGTTTTTCTAGTAGAATTTTTTATTTTTCTCGTACAATTTGTTACGAGTATTTCTTATTAAAAAATATTTTTTGTTTGAAGATGTCCGGACGTACGTTTCATCTTTTCGACTTAAAATTAGGCAAAGAATCCGTTAAATACGGAAATGGATATATGTAAAAAATACGTATTAACCCATTTTGCGTTAATGCACCACCTATTCTAGGATTAAGCGTGCCTACATTAGATATCTTAATTAAAAAGAAAAAGATGAAACCGGTGCTAAATGTGGCAGAACTACCTTACGGAATTGTATTCAACACATGGGTTTTAGATTTAAAAAAACTGACAAAAGGTAAGTTTTAATGGAATCTCTTAGAATTCGGAAATGGAGACTAGAAAAAATTATGATTTACGGAGAACAACAAAGGCCAATTATTTACTCGGATGAAACCCGGTTCGTATTAACTCCAATGTCCTAAAACTTATAGAAACCGAAGTTTTTAACATACCTCCACAAAGTTGGTCAAATGCTGTTAAACATATAGAAAAAGCGGAACAATCGTATATCCATATTGCAAATAATACAGAACAAATAATAATTAGAACAGGCGATGATAGCGATAGTGATACTGATATATTATGTGAATAATTTTAATTGACTTAAGTAGGTAATAAAAAAAAATTGTAGTTTTATTTTAGATGAAAACATAAATACATAAATAAATAAATAAATATTGTTTAGTATCTTTCATAACAAAACCCCAAACAATTAAGTTCTAAGCAAAGTACGGACCTGTTCGGCCATATTTCATTCTTGCAGCTTGCCCGGGTGTTTCCTAAATTCGTATGAGTTAGTCACTCTCTTATATCTATGAACAGACTTTACCTTGACTGACGAAGAAGATATGAACGATAACATAAATCTACAAGAGTTGGGGGAACCAACCGATATAGTTGGAACTTTCGAGTTACATACACCGAATGATACAGCCGCTCTTCAACAGCAACTACTAAACCCGAATGGGACTCATCAGATGATGAAACCCTGGAATTCAAAAGAAGACGTAGTATCCTTTCTGCAAATGGCAGGCTTGCTTTTACTGTCAAAGGAAAGTACACTCACACACCTATATCCGACGAAGTTAGATCATGTGAAGAACTAAAAATTAGGCTTTCTGTAAAAACTCCGCTTGAAATATTGTTTATGTTTTTTGATGAGGAAGTGATTGATTTGATTTTAAATCTTACATTGCTTTGCGATATTTAAATCAAGATCACCCCATGATTGTTCATGCTAATAAAGCCCGGAGGAGACGTAGAATCTGCCACAGCCACACAATTTACGTTTTTAATAAGTGTAATGTGCATTTATATGTTACATCTTATGTGGTACAAAACTTTTTTTAATGTTTTTTCCCAGTGGTTCGTTTACGCACCAGTATTTATTTTATGTTTTTTTTTGACATATGTATAAGTGCAACAAAATAAATAATTTCAGAGCAAAAAAGTACTTTTTTTTATGCTTGCGATAATATGGGTTAAGTTTATGTTTTTCGGAGCGGGTGCGCAAAGATCTAAGAAAACGCCGTCCGGATCCGGTACTGGAAGCTGTTCCCTCGGGAACAAGACGGCCGGTCCGGACCCGCGACCAATCAAAGCGCGATCCGGAAACGCCATAGTCGAATTAGGTCGCTCCTCGTCTCCGATATGAGTTAATTTCCTCCCGATGCGGAAATCAGATTGCGGCCCGCAGACTTTAATTAAGAACCGGAAAAACCGAACGCAGTCAGGGATGTATCCAGGAAAACCGTCTGAAATGATTGTAAATATTGGCGCTTAACCGCAACACTTATCAATTAAATTATTAGTATTTATTATAGTTTCTGAATCATTCAAAATCCCTTTACTTATTGGTCGAAATGTGCACAAAATCCGGTGTATCCAGAATAACAATTTTTCCAATTAAAAAGCTTCCGAAAGCACGAAGCGATAGTGGATAAAGTAAGCCTTCTTCAAATTCTATTTTGAATATATTTTTTGTTTTTAAAGACATATGTTTTACACTGTTTACACATCTTCTATCAGAAATATTTTTAAAACAATACTGAAGGACTTAAATTAATATTAAAGTAGTATTAATATCGACTTATAACTGTTTAATCTTGATGTTTCTCGACACCTTTGATGCGCTCGAGAAACTGAACAAAATAATCCAAAAAGTTTTGCAATATTTTGATAAATCGAGATGTACACGGTGTTTCAACACCGTGTACATCTCTTTCAAAATCTTATATTTCAAATCCGTATCAACAGATATACTCTGAGGGCACCAAGGAAATGCAAATTTTCTCTGATAATAAGGCCGATGCAGATCAGACAATGATAAGTGAACTTTCTCCCATAGTTTAAAGCTAAACCCAACAAAATCTCATCTAATGATATTTGAACAATAGAACAAAATATTAATATAATGTTAGATAACACTGAACTTTCAGTTATGGATTCGGCTAGGGATTTGGGATTATAACTAGAAATCTACGATTTCGTGACAATTTAAAAAATGTCTTTCCAAATATCATAAAAATTTTATATAGTAACAGGCACATTTTAAATTTTAAAATGAAGAAACAATTATGTGGGTCGCTTGTTGTCCCATATTGCAACTACTGTGATGTGATTTATGTTTTTTCTATCCATTAATATACCGAAATGTTTGAAGTAGTAATTCAAAAAAAAATTGGACACGGAACCAGTGCGCTTACCTGTGGTTGATGTCGGGCAATTCCTGTTTAGGTCCGGGCGTGACGATAGCGGGATGCGAGGCCAAGTGGGGAGGGTGAGGCGACAAACCCGGATGCGGCTGGATCAATCCGGTCGGCGAGAATCGATAAAAATCGCTGGACAAACTGCTCGTCGAGATGGGCAGTGACGTCGGATAGGGGCTGCGGAATCCCGCGCCCGGCGACAGGGGGTACATACTCGGCGTGTGCCTGTTGACAAGAAGAGAAAGAAATTATCAAATTGTTAATTTTTATTATTATTGTTAATTATAAAACTTCTGGATTCCTGTTGTTCCTGGATACTTGTTGAGATGAACTTGCTGACGCTTCGCCAATCATCCTGCTGGCTTCTTCGGGACTTAACTTAAATGTTTCAGTTCAGGTCAGTTCAGAACTTAACTGAAATGTTTCAGTTAAGCTCTGAAGAAACCACGTTTTCCAGAACCAAGAATCCAGAAGTTTTGAAAATAGTATCAAATTGTTATTAGAGGTGGTAAATAAGTGTAGAACAAAAACGGCTACAACAAAACCCCGCCTCCTGTTACGGTGATTGAAAAACATATTCCCTGGACGATGAAATTTGTCTCTTCTACACTGTGTATTAGTTTAATGCAGAATGATTTGATTTAGCATTATTAGCGGAACATCAAAGATTTAAAGGAGAAAAGTCGTACGTCAGTGGTTCTTCCTGAACTTAGTGCTGGTCTGAAGAAAAAAGGAAAGAAAAAATAAGAGAAAATACTTTAACTTACAATGTATGTAATGTGTTCGAGACACACACAAAAAATGTCAAATTGCAAAATTATAGAAATTTATATATATATATATATATATATATATATATATATATATATATATATATATATATATATATATATATATATATATATATATCCTTCAATGCTCGCGCTCCGAAAATAGTGCTCGAAGTGTTTTCGGAGCGCGAGCATTGAAGATGCCAAGTGAGATTTTGGCGAAACGTCTGCAGGATTCCAGTCGGATATATATATATATATATATATATATATATATATATATATATATATATATATATATATATATATATATATATCCGACTGGCATCCTGCAGACGTTTCGCCAAAATCTCACTTGGCATCTTCAATGCTCGCGCTCCGAAAACACTTCGATCACTATTTTCGGAGCGCGAGCATTGAATATGCCAAGTGAGATTTTGGCGAAACGTCTGCAGGATTCCAGTCGGATGCAGGAATCCAGGAGGATTAAATAGCACCCAGAATTCTATAATACCTTTTGAAATGCGTTTTCCTTGTTCACACAGTATCACTTGAAAGAATTTAATTTAAAAAATGCGTGAGGTATTGCCATGCTCATTTCTTTTCAAAGTCTACTAACCTGTTTTTGAGCACAGCGACTTAATTAGCAATACAAATATCCGAAAGCTGTTTTTTAATTGAAATGAATGTAGTATGCTTTCTTTCTTCAAAATCTCTATAAGTTTTCAATAAAACAAAATGGAACTGTACTCACAAAAAAGACAATTAGAGGAGTTTTCTACAAAACTTCTGGATTCCTCCTGCGTCGATTTTTGCTTAGTCGAAATTGCTGACGTCGCGCCAATCATCCTGTTGGCTTCTTCAGACGGATCAGGAGGAATCCAGAAGTTTTGTAAAAAGCATTACGGTAGCCTGTGGATCTTTGAAAAATTAATTAGAGGAGTTATCGCGGTTAACTAGCGCCACCTACATGTTACGTGAAAAACAGAATTTTGAAAACCCCAAAAACCTAAGTTTCCTTGTCATAATATCGAAGACAACTTGAGTAATAAATTAAATAAATAAATAAATAAATATACATATTATAATACATGTAAATTTTCACGAGTTTAATCTAGGTTTTTCATGCATTCATTGTGTATGAAAATTAATAGAACTTAAAAACCTGTGTTTTGATTATCCAGCGTCCAATTTTAGCCCCCCTAGTCGGATGGGATAGTCCGCGAAGCCGGATAGATATCAACTCATACTCGTTAATAGTCGTCAAGAACCCCTTAGAAGCGTTCCCAAAAGCCTAACACCACCCTCGCTCTTGTATATTATAATACCACCACCGCACACGCAATTTTGCAAACTGTTGCGCCCAGACTCGAGTGTGAGTGCCCCATTGTGCCCCTAATGGTCAGATCCCATTAGAAACTATTTACACTTGTACGGGAGCAGTGATAGGGGGCGACTATACTCCGCGCGGCACGAAATTTTTTTGCTTACCAGGTGGCAACCTGCGCCGACATTTCCGGGCTGAGCATGGGGTAGGGATACTGGCCAGCAGAAAAAGGGTACATGGGTGGTCGGGTGAGTCCTGAAACAGAAACAAACGCAAATTAATCGCAGCGACCGAAAAAATAAAATGGTCAACAAGCACAAAAACAAATAAAGCTTCCCAGTTTTGAGGGAGAAAATATACTAAATTGATGTATGTTCTGCTCCTCACTCCGAATTTTTACTTCATTTAATGAGTTTTAGAGTAAATATAATTTTATACTTTTTATGTCGGTGAATTTTTGTTTTGGTTGGTTTTCGGTATTTTTCAAATTTTTCATTTCCTATTGTTAATAAAATTGAAAAGTTTGAATCGGTTAATTCAGAAGTACACAAGTGAAATAATTAGATTATTTCGTATATACAGGATTATTCTCTGTTAAGTGCATATACTTTATGCGTAGTTGGTCGTTTTCTCTTTTTGTTGTTGAAATAGGTTCTTATCTATTGAATATTTAATTTACTCGCCTAATTTTTTACTCCTTTCATATAATTTTTCATAATTTTATTCCCAGTCCGCCTCTGTGTTTCGATTTAATTAAACCGTCAGATATACATTGCTGAGTGAGTAAAAAATTTTGTTTTTATATACCCAGTAGTCCAAAGCAATAGCTCAAAAGAAAATTTACCAAACCAACAAACACAGAAATATTTTAAAATGTGCGATCTGTGCAACTCGGCAGGTTTCCAGCTTGATATATTTTCTTCCTCTGTACGTCAAGTTGAAACATGTTTTATAAGGAATTTTTGCATTTCTTCTAAGTTGTTACTTATGTCCCTGTTCTGCAGATGGGTTTATCCTATTGAACAGTGTATCTAAATAAATAAAAACGAACGCGTCACCATAATTCATGCTGGAACACCAGAGGGATTTATCCCAAACATGCCGCTGTCTGCAAAGAATAATAAGTATTCCAGATTGAAAACTTATTCCAAAAGTGCTGTTGTCAGCGAAGAACGTTAAGGTTTCTAAAATTCGACTATAATGAATTTTTAAATTTTAAAAATATTCCGCATGACTTTGGGCCAAAGTAAGCTATCAACAGCTTGCTAACAAGAAATCGCGACTTTTGAAAGTGGCTGAACAAATTGGAACGCACTGTTTTCATGAAATCTTACTTAAGTTCGAATGTAATAAATTTAATTAATAATCCACCTGCTGAGAGAAAAATGAAATACAGCATATTTTACATTTACATAGATTTTGGGTAAAAACGCACTTATCTAGGTAAGAGGTAGAAAAATGTTTATATTTTCTGTTAGTATTAATTTGATTTCCTTGTTCCTGAATGAACATATACCGACTGGTGAAGTACTTTATTAGAGTTCGCAGGTTATTTCAAAAACCAAAAGCCAAGACGGTCTCGCACAAACTACAGGACGCTAAGTGGTTGAACATTCAGAATAGGCGTCCTTGGTATTTTTTCACAACATTATGTTTAATAACAGTCCTCCTTACTTGACAAATAAAACAAAATATCGGACAGATGTTCGCAGATTGAACCTTAGATTTAGGGGTCTTATCTCTACACCACCACACTGGACGTCTCTTTTTCAATAACGTTTACAAACTTTACAATAGCGTTTCTCCTTCTTTAAAAGCTTTATGACCATTAAACTTCAAAAAAAAAAAAGACAAGAAATGTTCCGCCAGCAAGCAAATTGCAAGTGATTTTTGAGTAAGTTCAGTCCTAAACTTTCCTATCCAATTTTTAATTTTTATGTACACGTACACATTTTTTTTCGCTATAGTTGTCTCACGCGAACTAATAACTTTAATATAGTTGCTAAATATTATTTCATAGGGGTTGAACTTGGAACAATTTCAATTGCTTTCATCTCCTCTTTTTTAAATTTATGGTACAGTGTTTTGGTTAGTTTTTCGCCGAAACGCATGGAGCGCAAAGGAAAACTACATAAAAGGTACCGGAAAAGTGTTCCATCCAAAAGAGGAATCGAGGTCGCCACTCCTGATCGGTCGCGTACCCTTTTTTCGAGACATTCATCGGACGGAATTCCCTTGCCGGTTTTCCTACGCACATTTCGTGACGGCCGCGACGCGGAAAATACGACACAATGTAACGGTCGCCGTTAATTTGCCGGATTTTCTTTCGCGACCATTCGGAAAGGGCATATTCGTCAACCCCATACGCTCAAGAAAAGAAAAACACCGCGAAAACTATCGATCGTTGATCCCTGGCGCGTATCGAAATCGTACTGCCTGAATTTGCTCGCTCGGTGATGGTTTGTTAAACAAAAACGGGCGTTTAACTTTTTATGAGCAACGTCATTTACAAAAAAAAAGGTCGCGGTATCGCATATGGATTTATATTATTTAATTCGAGATTTATCGCATTCTCCGAAATAATATAGAAAATACTGTTTGTAATATTTGTAGCAAATTACGCATACAAACATAGAAAAATAATAATAAACAATTTATTTAATCTTCAACAATATTCAATTGTAGCAATACTTTTAAAATCAACAAAAAATCAGATACATTCATTATTCATTATATTACATTATATTCATGAATACTATTGTCAAAACAATGCACGCCACTGACATTTTGGCAATTCTTATTTTCTAAAGGAAACTATGAAATGACCATCCGACACATGACACATTGGTAAGGAAATATCCATTTTTTAATTTTTTCTTAACTTACAACATTAATATAAAATATTTCGAGTTGATTTCACGCTGACTTCAATTTCTCTAGATAATTACCGATATTTCCATTTAATTTCCTATTTATTTTTGGGGCGTAGTCAACTTGACCACGAAAAATAAAATATGCATGTTGATATTTAATGTAATGTAATGTAATGTATTTTCTATATAACGTATCAATTTCCCCGATAAAAACTTACTTTTGGGTTTTATAAACAAAAAAATACAATAGAAATACACAAAAAAGTACCTACACGGTTATCGACAGCTGCAGTGAGTATATAGTGGCCAAATGTAATTAAGTCCCCTTTATTTAAAAAATAAATAGTTTTATCTATTTTAGATTAAAAATTACCAATTTTTTTGATCAAAAAATTGTACAAAAATAATAAACTTCCTTAAAATAAGAAAAAGCAGTACATTCTCCATTCTAAGATCTGATTTAAATTATGGGAAGTTTTGACAACTCCTTTTTGTTTATGACAAATCTCCAGCCGAACGTTGGCCCATATTCAAATAATTTGAAACACCCTGTATATGTCTATGAAAGTGTATTTTATAATAATTACCGATTTTTATTTATATTTCGGGAACGCCCAAAAAGTTCTTAACTGATTAACAGGGTGTGCACACAATTTTGTAAATTTTTTAAATCAAAATAACTGGTTTCACGAAGTTGAATGTTTTCATGTACTGAATAATATTTGAAATTTAAAGGTTTAATTTAGTGCATTGCGCCTTCAAAGAAAGGCACAATAATTATCGTCTTAAAATCTTCAAGTTTCAGAACGCAATGAGTTTTGGAAAGGTTTTTCGACAAAAAAGCTTTTCATAACATTTGATGGTGTTTTAAAACAACACAAATCAACAAAACTTCACTTAGTTGCACCTGCCAAAAAGTTGAAACTTTACTTGAATTTATATCCGTCCATGTTTAACAATAATCAAGTAATTGCCATTTTGACAGTTTCACAGTGATCTTTATCTTAAACAAAGCATTATTTAAAGCACTACTTAACAAAAAAAATATCATTTTTTTTTTTCGATCACCAAAACAGCCTTGCGAACAATCAATACAAAAATAATTATTTTTTGATTTTCTATTAATTTTAATTTTAAATTAACATCCTACTTCTCTTCAATTAGCTCCGTGGATCTTGTTCGTCCAATGTAAGTAACCCTGACAAAAAAAGTCCATCAGATTAAGGTCTGGTGAGCGAGGCGGCCAAGCGGCGCTGATGTGTTCCTTCATTTTTTCTATGTAGGTTTTGCATATTTCGAAAATTTACAATGCCATTACGACAGAGTCAGCGAACAAAATGACATTTAAGAATTGCGGGGAATTTTGCATGAAGATGATCTTCGACCTTTTCATGTACTGTAGCAAGCAATCCTTTCCTGAGCAGCAAGTTCTTTTATACCTTGGTCTCCATTTATCCATATTATCAGGATCGAGCGATCCTCTTTCACCAAGTGTATGTTGATGAATGTCTTAGCGGATGGAATGGTTCTATTGGGATAAGCCACGATTTAAAGCCGTCGTGTGCTTGATCTGAATTTCCATTTGCTCTTCGGTAGCAAAAATGCATATGGCGATATTCAGTATTTCAATATTCCTTATGGACCATCACAATAGCAGTTGGATAATAAGCTCTGTCAATAGCAACTAATTTTTAACGGATTTTTCAAATTTTATTAAGCCCTGTTAGGTAAAATCACATTTACAACACTCATCGACAAGAGTAACAATCTTTGAGGATTCAATTTTGCAACATCAAGTTGCCGCCCTCGATTTCCGAATAGCCTGTATGTTATGTGTATATAATTTAATTATTCGGAAAGCAAATTTGGTCCGCAAAGAATTTAGATTTTATTAATTAATATTAAATGACAATAATGTAGCCCAAACCTCCCATATTTACGACTTATAAAAACTTTTTTTTTCATAAACTAAAAACAAAAAAAAATCGATATTACATCCCAATACGCTCGCGGGAAAGTGATTTTTTCCGTCAAAAAAAGTTTTTATTAAACTTGTTCGCGCATCCTCGTGACCCCGAACAAACTAAAACAATAAAATAAAAGTTCGATTCGTTTCCGCGTCGCCGGCAAAACCGCAAACCGGGGCGGCGGGAGCCGGGGGGACCCGTCCCACCCTCGGACCGCGTAAAACAAAGCCGACGCGTCCCGATTTATTCCGCTTTTCCGTTCGATAATCGACGGCAATTTTTCCCTAGCACCATTAAAGTTGCATGGCGAAATCGCGAAACGGCATGTCGCCGTAATTCAGGGGGCGAAACGTCGGAACCCGTTATTGGGGACCGATAAAATGTGTGTCGCGAAACGTCACGCCACATATTACGC